ATCGCTAACTAGAACGATTTAGCGATCTAATAGGCTAGTAGTCTTTTTTTAGTTATCTTTTTAGGTTTTTTTTCAATATGTTTTTGGTTTTGTTTTTTTAGATATATGTTTAAGGCTGTTCTTAATTAATAGCCGCTACTATTGCGTAGGAGCTAGGGGGCTAAGCTTAAGGTTTAGTAGGTGGGGTATTTGGTTTTTCAAGGCGTCTAACTTTCTCTCTTAGTTCTTTAGAGACGTTAGATAGAGAGAAGATTTTGTCTCCTAGAATTGTAGAGTTTTTCTTGTTTACTCTACCGTTCTCTATAAAGTCTCTAAAGACTTCTACAAGGTCTAGTAAACTAGTTTGCCTAGTAGAGTTGTTCTTAGCTAGGTTAGCTGCTTGGATTACTAGGTTTCTAGCAATCTCTAAGGCCTCCTCAATAGAGGTTGCCTTTGGAGTTTTCCCTACTGTAGGGTATCTTGGCACTGCTCCAATAAATGGAGAAAAATTGCTTCTTGTCCTAGTATGGGTAGGCCTAGGCGGTTCTTCTGGTTGCCTGTTAGGGCAAGGCGTAGAGGTCTCCTCAGCCATCTCAATTTCTAGATTATTATCCATTAGTTGTTTGCTTTTGCCTCTAAGGTCCTTTAAGGCTAGTCTTTTTTTATTATTGTTATTGTTTTAATATGTCTGTGTTTCTTGCTAGATTTAAGCTTCAATAAGCTCCTGCGTTCCTATTAGTCCCTCTAGTCTTGGCATTAGAGCCTAAGCTCTGTGAGAAAATTCTCACAGGCGTGAGAAAATAAAGGAAGGCCTCCTTCTTCTCCCTACTGCGCGCTAGCGCCTTAGCTGCAGGTGTTGAAAGTGCTGTTAGTCGATTCCTCGTGGTCAGTTCTCTTAGATAGCGTGCTTTCCTAGCGGTTTCTAGAAAACTCGAAGTTGGTGTTGTCTTTTAAGCTATAGCTAGGCTGCTTTAATAGCGTTAAGATTAGGTGAATTGCCTAGCTATAGGAGCTGCTCTACCTTAGCGTTTTAGTATATAGTTCTTTAAGCGTGGTGGGTATGCGAAGGTGCCTTATCTTCTTGAACAAAAACACGTAGTCTCTCTTTTTAGCACTCCTTTGCAAAGGGAATTAGCTTTAGAATAAGAACTTAAGTCTAGTAACGCCACCAATTAATGCCACCACGACTGCTCTCACGAGCTAGCTTACCCGTCTCTTTTACCCATCTCCATTGTGGAACTCTACTAGGCTTGTTACGTAATCTAAGCCTCTTCATGCCTATTGTAAGCTCCCACGCCTCTCTCATAAGAGGCTCTAGAGCCTTATTCAACTCTTCAATCTAGAGAGCGGCGTCTCTCTTCTCCTGCGCAGTCTTAGGCCTCTAGACATAGCAAGGACCTTTGTAGTTGTATGTAAAGCAGCCCTAGAACATAAATTTAGAGTAGCCCTTCCACTGCTCTTGGATAATACTTTTAGTAAAGACTTCATCTAGGCGTTGCCACACACGATAGCTACTATAATAGTAGTTGAGAACAATAGAAGTCTTATCTGACGAAATAACGTTCTTCTAATCTTTAAGTGTCTAATCTTTATAGGCAAGACACCACTTAAGTCTTTCCTGTCTTATCTTCGTTGTTAACTTAGGCTTTTTTGTTAGCTTCTTTTTATTGTAACTAGCTGCTTAAAGGACTCTCTATATAGTAGACAACAAGACGTTATAGCTGTGAACACTAAGATTACTAGCAATATCAGCGTAGCTCTTCTCTCTTCTATACCTATCGCGGCGTACATTCTTAAGAGTAGCGTTGTGTATTTCTTCTTATTCAGAAGGGCGGCCTGCGCGTAGAGCATCTTCAAAGTACCATAGAAGGATCTTAATTAGGCGTGCGTTAGGCTTTAAGCCTCGCTAGCAGGCTCTACTATAAATTAAGTTAATCGTACGCGGCGATATGCCTATTATTTCTGCAATTTCGCGTGTAGATTTGCTACTAAAAGGTAACTTTAATGCAACAATAAAAAGCGGGTTAATATATCTATATTTAGAGCTATAGTAGATTAAAAACACTTAAAAAAAATAAGTATACAAGCTATCGCCATCTTCAAAAGATTGGTGTAGGCGCCAAGAATAGTCAGGCCGATAGGCTGGCGGCTTAGCGTGGCGCTAGCAAGAACTTTTGACAGTCACCTCCGTATAGAGCGTAAGAATCTTATGTACGAGGTAGTATTCCTTAAAATCCTTATTAAGGTGGCTCTTATGCCTATCTAAGATTAGCAGCCTATATAACCCCTTCTAACGCGTTTTTATATGCGCGTTAAAGTGCTTTAACTACTTAAGACTAAGCTAATTATTAGTCTAGCCGTTCTCTAAGACTAAAATCTTCTAATTGTATAGTATATCTTGCTCTTTGTACTATGCAGAGATATAGACGCGTCCTTTATAGATAATAAATAGTAGGATAGCATACTTAGTAGCATAGATGCCTTAGATAACTATTACCTACTCCTAGTCCCCTAGCTCGATAAGATTTAGTCTCGTACGACGTTCTAAACTAGTAACAACCTTTATTAAGCTAATAACGCCTATCTAGAAGCTAGTCTTATTAAAGTTGTAGATGTTATCTAGATAGACTCTAAACTAGTTAATTGTATCTCGTACGAGCTTGATGTTACACGGGGTTGGGCTATACTTCTCTAATCTCGGTCCGGGTTAAGGCGAGTAGACTTAAGCGGTAAGCCGTGCGATTGTTATAGTGCTATATAGAAAAGAGTTATAGGATTTAACTAAAGAATAAACAATTAATTCTATAAGGTAGAATAACTGGTATTAATCTAGGTAAGAGATGAACTATTCTAAGTTAACCACAACAAGTGTAATGATGAAATTCAACACATTCTTATACCTATTGCTTTAGGTCCTGTCCTCCTGTGCCTCCCGCTAAGATAGGAGGTTTAGAAGGACTATAGCCTCCCAATCTGCGCTGGCCTCCTAGAGGCCACGCCTTGGCGGGATGCCAAGTCACGTAATCCGCGCGCCCCGCGCTAATCATTACCTAGGCGTCCTTTAACACCTTTGTTTCCCTTAGGTTGTCTCTATAACCTTTCTTAGATACCTATTAAGAGAAATCCTTCCTATTTGTTTGTAACATTACCTCCCCTCTTAGGGCTATTGTCTTAATACCCTAGAATATTGTTTTCCTATGCTGCGTGTTGTGGCGCTAGCTGCATATAAGGTTAGAGCCTGTCCACTCGTTATAGCCGTCTCACCCTACTAGCCTTCCTAACTATGCCTAAGGTCCTGTCTTCCCGTCGTGTTCGTCTAGAGAACTTAACCTAGCAGCGTTAGTCTCGTGCTAACTGTATTCGCTAATAGGGGAATAAAATAACCTTTTGTTGTAAGCGTTGCAAGAAGAAGAACCTTTGTTGTTTTATAGACACTATAAATAGCTATTACGCTAGTTATATTGCTATAAAAGCGGAGTGTAGTCTTTTCGTAACGAAGGAAGAGTAGGAAGAAGTTAAGGCTAACAAGCGTTCTAAACGCTTAACCCTTCTTTAAGCTAAAGCTAAAGTTACGCAGCTTCGTCTAGAAGTCGCTAAGACTAAGGCCTTAGAGCGGTCTTACGCTAACTATAATCACGCTATTCTAAGTCTCCAGGATCGCGCGAAAGAGTAGGCCAAAGGGGATTCTGCCCCTAGTACGAGCCTTCCTGCTATCAAACTATCGCTACCTAGACCATCAGCTAATCTAGGCGGGTTACAGGCTAATTACTCTCTTAATCCTTTTTCCCTTAATTACTTCCTTTCCCTCAAGGAACTAGTCCTTGCTTCTTTAGATGCTTTCGATAGTACTCACGTACTAGTGACTTGCTATTCGTTAGGTTTCCTTTAGGTTCCTAAGTGTTATAGCTTTCTAGCTATCCTTTCTACTTAACTAAGTACTTCTACTAACCTCTAAACTTCTAAAGGTCTATGATTTCTTTGACTTCGTACTTGTCGTCTTTAAGCTCTATATCTATTGCTAGCTTAGCATCTAGAGGTGCTTGTTCTAGGAGTTTCTTGTGAAAGACAGGGTGGATTTTTATGCCTTATAGGAGTTTTAGCTTGTAATTTTTTTTCCTAACTTCCTCTAGGATCTTAAATAGTCCCACTTAGAGGTTGTCTAATTTCCT